GGGGGGGGGGGTGTAGTACCGGCATGTCCGACCCGTACACGGCGAATTTCCGCTGCCGTGTGGAGAATAATTAGGTGATAATTGCCGCTAAATTATGCATATTCCAGCAACGCACGGAGCGGTGCACGGCCATTTCCTGCCGTGTACGGGGATGTACAGGGATCGTGTCCGGGCATATAACGTCCAGTACACGACCTGCACACAAAAAGTGGTTCATTTCCGGGAGTGTACAGGACATGTACGGGACTTGACACGTTTCGTGTGCAGGTCGGAAACCCCCGGGTTCTACCGGAAACCTAAAATATCCGGGAAAGTGTGCGGCAATTTCTCACACGGAAACTAGGGATTTTGTGCCGTGATGACACACGGACGTGACGTCTCATGGCGAACGGATGTGACGTCTACTGTCTGCAAATTTGTCTAAAATACTAAAAAAATCAAAGAACCTTTACTGTGTACAAATAGGTAAATATATTAAAGACTGTTTAGACCTTATTAGAACAAGTAGTATAAGTTGATTCATTTATTGTCACAATCTCGCAAGAGCGCGAGACTAGGCCCGAGACTTGCATCGAGCATCCGGATGGAGGCAACAGGGGGTGGGGCCCGGCAGACCGATGCAAGTCTCTGGCCTAGTCTCGCGCTCTCGCGAGATTAGGCCACTTCGTGAACAAGATGGACTGATAGTCATCGAAAATTTGGAGGTTAGTATCGTTATCCTTCCAAGTTGTCACTGATGAAAGAATTCACTAGTAACTGAAAGTCGTTGTACTTTTGTTGTGTCGATAAAGTTCTATATCAAATACCGTCTGTGTCCAGAGCGTACAGGACGGCCGTCAGGTTGAGTCTTGCGGTGACCTCGTTGATGTTGAGATGCCCGTCTTTGTCGGCGTCCAGGTCGTCCACGGCTTGCCTGCGCTGCGGGTTGATCGGGGTCGTGATGACGGCGTTGTAGATGGCGTACAGGCGATCAGCCTCCTCTCCGATCAGGAACCCGTCGTCTGAGGATGGTAAAAACAAAAAGCTGAGAAAAGAATCTTACGGGTCACCTTCAAAACCACAGGCGTGGATCTCATCTTTCTCTACATCAATGTGTACAACAACTGATTACTGGTCCGCCTCCTCTCCAATCAGGAACCCGTCGTCTGTTGATTGATGAAAGAAAAAAGGTCGAAAAACAAACTTGAGTTTAAAAAACACAGGCGTGGATCCTAATAAAAGTATATATAGGAGGGTTCGACACACCTTTCACTATATCAATGTCAAATTTGATCACTGATTACTGGAAAAGAGAAATGTTTTTGAGGAATAAATAACAGCGTTGTAGATGGCGTACAGACGGTCAGCCTCCTCTCCAACCAGGAACCCGTCATCTATTGATTCATGAAATCAAAAAGAAGGAAAAACAAACTTGAGTGTGACTTAAAAAAAACACAGGCGTGGATCCTTACAAAAGTATAGGAGGGCTCGCCACACCTTTCTCTACATTAGTGTGTACAATAACTGATTACTGGAAAAGAGAAAGGTTTTCGAGAATTGAATAACCTCTACTAAGCTTCAGAAGCGACTGGAAGGAGTAGAAATTGGCAAAATAGACAGATAGACAGTGCTAATAAGATGTGTAGTTTCGGTAAATTGCACTTTACAACTTTCCACTATGGAACAATGTTACATCAAGTTTTAAAAATGGCTGGACTCTCGGACAACACGCTCTATCTCAAGGCTTGCAGATAGCACCAATACTTACAAATACATACTGGTATTGATAGCAAATAATGGAATTGATTGATAGATAGATAGATTTAAACATACATAAACATAAAAGGCTTAGATGAACACTACATCGATGAAGGTTAGACATCCAATACGATACGCCAAAAAGCAGTTACTCAGACGTTTCAGTTAGTATCCACTAGCTTTCGTCAGCTAGTGACAAAAAGCTAGTGGATACTAGCTGAAACGTCTGACGTTTTCAAAATCATATCCAGTTGCTTTAGTAACTGCTTTTTGACGTATTAGATGAATACTAGTACACGGACACCGCATTCATTAAGCCTCAAGGTAGTCCCCCTCCTGGTAGCTACAGATGATGTATTGATATCAAGAAATAAAATTGAATAAACCATTATATTTAACCATTCGGAACGTACCGTTGCGATCATAGAAGGCGAAGAGTTCCTCGATGGTCAGACCGTCGCGAAGTTCCTGGAAGCTCAGCATGTGGTCGTTATCGGTGTCGAGCTGGTTGAAGTAGTGATGGTCAACAAACTGCAGAGCCTGATCAACGGTGAACATCTGATCCACTGCAGAGGGAAGAAGAGTTTGGAAATGATGTCACAAGTTTTTCATGTCATCTTTTCATCTCGGACTTCCAAACCCTTTAGCTGTAATGTTTGTTTCTTACTACTTCTATCTATATTTCTTCCATTTGACTTTGTGGCAAAACGTGCACATTTTCACAGATCATCGAACTCCGTAAATAATTTCATCAGGTTGGAAGATACTTAGGGTATAGAATTTTCTTCTTACACAACCAGTAAGGTTCTCACCTGCTTACGTTTCGATGTCTATCAGACACCTTCCTCAGAGCTTCTGACTGGAGTTCTGCAACTCGCCGCTATTTAACGCCAATGTAGGTGGCGCTTTTGCGGCGAGAATGCATGGTTGTGTAAGAAGAAAATTCTATACCCTAAGATCATCGGACTGCCTATAGTTGAAGGATATGGCGTCACAAATGGGACGTTAAAATGACGTGTGGATGTGACGTACGCCTCATGTCTACAACAGTGTAAACTCGTCTAAAACAAGTTAGCGCTGAGTACGTACTGTCCGTATCCAGGGCCAGCATGACTGCCTCTAGATCCAGCGCGGCCGTCGCTTCGTTAATATCAATATGCGCGTCATTGTTGGCGTCAAGATCGCCGCCGATCTGCCTGTACTCAAAACATAAAAAAGAACTCTCTCTCTCTCAATGGCAATAACTCGATACCTTTATTTGCAATCAGATACAGATTCATGCCCAGATACAGATTCATGTACAGATACAGATTCATGTACAGATATACAGATACAGATTTTCCGAATAGGATGACCGTGTCAGTCCCTACACCTGAGTGAGGGTCACAGTTGACACGGTGGCCTTCGCGTGGATTTGTTTTAAGGTGGCTAACAGGGTGAGAATCTGAGACCCACACACTTGGGCATCCGTCTTTCCCAGTTGATCCGTATCGAGGGAGACGTACTGGTTCACTTCAAACATCTGGTAAACTAACATTTAATTATTTTAAATTTTGTAAACTAAATGTATCATGTGCAATATTGTATGTCCCTTTGACCTTTTTACGTGTCCCATTTGAGGTCATCGGCGGTCATTCTTCGAACAGAACGCGTGGTCCACTTGGGGTCACCGGCGATCATTGGAACAGAGCGCGTGTTCCATTTTGGGTTACCCGCGGTTACATATAATTTGTCGGTCGACTCGACTTGGTCGCAGTATTTTCAGATTTAGCATACCACTTGTGGGATCATTATTCACCACTGGTGAGGTAATGGCGTTATAACTAATATGAATTTGGGATTTCTTGGTCAACCTCTTCTGTCTATAAGATAATTTGAAGTACTATGCATTAATCAACAAAGTAACATTATCATTAGGACGTCCACAGTCCGTCTGACTTGGAGTTGTTGGCCTCTAAGTCAGGAGGATTGTGAAATGTGAAGAGTTCAGAAAGAATCATCGGTACTCACCTCCTCATTGGAGAAGCGGTTGCCAGGGCAACGAAGAACAGAAGGAAGGGAGTCATAGTTGGTTGGTCAGCTGTTGATTTCAGGAACTGAAATGATACATGCCGTTGTCACATGTGTCGTACATCGTCTTACAATTTTGATGTCGCAGTATCTTCAAGTAGGCTTTACTATAACCAAGCGCCGAAAATGATATTACTATAATACCTTCTACGTATTACTAACAAGACGCGAAGCTCTGACGTTTTTCAGGACACACCTATGCCTGACTATCCCCTCAGTTTGCAATCTTACGTCGATCGTATATCGCAGTGTTACAGAACCAACCACAGAAAAGGATATGGGGCAGCTATTTAGTAAATACGTAACAACGCAGCTTTTTTTCGGGGTACAAGCGCGTCTACTTTTTTTTTTATTTATTCAGAAACACAATGATGATTACAAATGAAAAGACATGGACAAAGTGACTGCGAACTCAAGTTAGGTACAACTTATATTCTCACAGCCACTTGTACAATGGAAGAAAAATATTTTACAAGACATTTGAAAATACATGAGACGAGTAACAAACCTCCCGTCCCAGAAGACGCATACAGTTAGAATCGTTTTGTTTCTGTTATATAATATTGTGCGGCTAACATTATTTTGCAGTTGATATCATACGAATAAAGGAAACTACCGCGAAGAACTAAATGCTGTATAGGGTGTCTATTCCAACAAAGTCCTCACGGTTACGAACGTACGACGTTCGCACGACCCTAAGACAATTCTACTTACCAATATACCGGTGTCTTGAACCGTATGGAGAGTGAGAAAGAAGCAGAGAGGTCATCCCTAATATAGCTGTTGCGTGAGAAGGTCAACAGGTTGCAGGAACAGATCGATAAACCAAATAAAACTGTCTAAATTTAACCCCATTAAGTGTTACATAAGAAAAGTTTTCACCGGTCTTGTTTGTTTACTTATCTATCTATGATGATGTACCACATTTTTGGAATGATTTACATTAACAGGCGGTCATCACCACTTCAAGATGTCAAACCTGAGACTAGACTGTAAGGTTTGAACCAGTCAAACTGGTAGGGACCCTTGCTCGTTTCGAGAAGTGTGGTGGGATCTTTAATGTGCTCAAGGTGTGTCTATCCTTAAACACTGGACCTCCGGCTTGCATCATAGTAAGGCCAAACAAACTTAATTACCTTTGCCCAGAGGGTAATTTATTAGGCATGCCATTTATAGAGTTTGGCAATTTTTAAACTGTTATAACTCGGGGTGTGGTTGCATGTTTCGTCATGATATTTGATAGGTAGGTTAGGGTTGCGGCAACAAAGGTCAAGGTTAATTTTGGTTATTCCAAAAAAAAGAAGTGAACATAGCCTCCCTTAGCCACGCTATTTACTCAATATCATCATGTCATCATCATAATATATATGTATAATACACATACATATAAATGCACACATATATATATTCCAACATATATAAAAACATACATATACATGTTGATTTAAAGTAAACATAATGTTCCCCACTTACCCCGATGCCTCTCCAGCTGTCTCAAGGTCAATTTTAGTTATTCTAGCCGTTTTGTACGTTACTGCACCGGGATACATGGGTGTGAAATCTGGTGTAGAGAACATGCTATGGTTTTAATATTTTGTAGGTAGTTTGGTATTGGTACAACAAAGGTCAAGGTCAGTTAGAGGTACTCTAGCGGTTTTGTTCGGTACTGTAGCGAGGTCATGGTTCACAAAAGCTATGGGACTACCTGTACCTGTTTACCTGCTCAAATCTGCTTGGAGAATAGGTACCAAAGCACGAAGAAAACTACCAACACGTTAGGCATTGTTCCCTGGGCATGGGTTGGTGTTTTTTATCCGAGCGCTGTAGTCCAAATGCCACAAGTTATAACATGCATGTTTGTAGCCATTATTGTGTATTTGCTATGTGTGGGGGGAAGGGTTATTGTGTGTCACAGGAACTGACATGACCTTTTTACTGACCTCTGCAATGTTTATATTTATTCTAGACTGATATATGAAATGTATGTTCTGTGTAGGTTTTTAATGGGTTTGTTACCTCCGTGAAATGAGGTGTTATTTTTGGTGTGTCAGTCTGTGAGCAAGGAGGTTAAAAGAGACTTGCTGTGAGGCTGTCTTTGCGACGTGGTATGTGGATAGGTCTTGGGAACACCTTGTTTAAGGTCAATTTCGGGTCTCCTAGTGGCTTTCCTCAGAACTGCAGTGGAATTTTCTTTTATGTATACAACATTTTGTTATATATGCTTATTTTCGTTGTTCGGTGCCCCAAAGGTTCAGGGCACAGCATTACTATGCCCATGTCATGTCATTGCTTTATTTGATAGCTAGAGTTACACGATCTTATACCTTCGCCCGATGATGTTATCTGTATGTCTGACGCATGTCTGTATGATCCTTATTATTTCAGTTGATGGTAACCTGTAAGTCTGAATTATGTCTGAATAACTGACTATATCACTTGATGGTCGTCTCTACCTAAACTACAGACGTCCTCCAAAGTAAACAGGATAAAAAAATAGACAAAACCAAAGATTGAAAGCATAGAAGAATTTTTGTTTTAATTTGTGTCATGTCATGAAACCTTCTTGGTATGGAATAACCTACTCGGTGTCTACAATGTCCTCTCGGCGACTAGGACGTACCGAGGGACTAGGCAGGTAGGTGTGCAAGTTGTCATTTAGAGTTTTGATTTAGTTGCTGAAGAAAAAACGGCATCACATCACGGCATAGCGGCAGCGGCGTTCTGCTGCGCGGCGTACATCTGGTAGATCTTGTCCGCCTCTGAACCGTACAGGAAGCCGTCATCTAATCATTGATAAGAAAAAAAAAAGAGTGCTAGTTACGTTGGTTACCCAGTGTTCCACCAAGCACAGAACAAACATAGGGGTACAAATAATAAACTTTAGATCTACTCATAAAGCTAATTAAGCAATCAATGCATTGCTCTCTAATTTTCTGGTAATATTGTGGGTTAGAACAGTACAGCTCAGACTCCCAAAGCTACTTGTGCCACAGTGGTAACGTAAGTCATTGCTTCGAACGTTCGAACGCGTTCGAAGCTTCCAGGTCACATGTTCCATCACGTTCGAAGTTTCTAGATTGCATGTTTTTAAGTGTTCTAAGCTTCTAAATTACGTGTTCGAACGCGTTCGGAGCTTCAATTTTGCATGTTCGAATGCGCGTTCGAACGCGATGCACGTAGCACAACATGCGTTCTTAGAATGCGTTAGGATGTCGGGCTGAAATGACGACTGTGGCGTAGGTATACAAAGGGTGCTTTGTCTGTATCACGTCGTTTTCACGTACCGTTTTCATCGTAGTAGGCGAACAGGTCGGCGACGGTCAGACCGGTGCTAAGCTCCTGGAAGCTCAGCATGTGGTCATGGTTGGTGTCGAGCTGGTTGATCATGTGATGGTCGAAATACTCGAGGGCCTCGGCAACGGTGAACTGCATGTCACCTACAGAGGGAAGAAGACTTGGGAAATCAGGAGTTTTGCACTCACGTGACAATGACGCCCTGCTGGGTGGTGAGAGCACGAGGTTCATCCATGCTATCGGTGGACATTTCGCCAGGTATATTATTTATTTTCAATTCCAACATCTCATGACCGATATTAGCAGGGGTTCAAACAAATCAAAGAAAACTTTTTCGAACGTCTATGTGACTTTGTGGCAACGAGTTGACATGCACATGCACGTGACGTCACATCATGGGCGGATATGACGTCACTTCACGGACGTACGTGACGTCACATAACGGGCGGATATGACGTATTCCTGTATGCAAATGAGCACGCTCATCAAAAAGTGTGTTTGAGGTTTAGCACTTGTTGTAACACCCATTTTCAGTGTCCAGAACGTACACGTAACAGACGGATGTGACGTCACAAGGCCAACGGATGTGACGCACTCTTGTCTGCAAATGCGCAGACTTATCTACAATGCCAGTGTGAGGTGTAGTGCATGGCACTTACTTGCACTAGGGTGGCAAAAGACAGAATCAAATTTTCCAGGCAGCATCCAGTCGCCAGAATTGGTCAAATGCGCCACTTAAAAGTTAACCCTAACCTTAACCCTAACCATCTTAGGTGGCGTATCGGACCCTCTCTGGGCAATGAATACTGCCTAGCTATATAGCCAATTTGATACTGACTCTTGCCACCCTAGGATCTGCTTGGAGATTAACTCACCGTCAGTGTCCAGAGCGTACACGACTGCGGTCAGGTTCAGCTTGGCGGTAACCTCGTTGATGTTCAGATGTCCGTCTCCGTCCGTGTCCAGGTCGTCGGTAACCTGCCTGTTTGATATTAAACGTAGTATTGATACTTGATTAACTCCTACATAGCCTACAAAACATGTTCTTCCTTACCATTTATTGATCCATTTCCATGCACCCATGTGCTGTTCTTTGTTGTTTTTTGTCATGTATTTTGTCACTGTATACTTGTATGTTTGGTGGTGAGTTTAACATTAGCTATAGCTAGAGTACCTTACCACCTTGTCTTGTATTGTCCATGATACTTACTTTACTTTATCCATCCACTTCTACCATCTGTGTCGTGTCGGTGTCGTGGGGAGGGACAGTTGGCGGCTAACGGCAAGTCTGATCCGCTACCGGCTTGCTAGGCCAGTCATAGCTTCACCAGAGCCCTGTTAGCCAGCCGAACTGTTTCCACCTCCCACGACGAGGTCGAGGGGTTGGGTTTTGGGAGACATTGTCCATGATGAATTAAAAAAAAAGAGACCTACCTGCGCTGCGGGGCCGTCTGGGCAGCCACCACTGCGTCGTAGATCAGATAGATGCGGTCTGCCTCCGCTCCATACAGGAAGCCGTCATCTGGTCATGGAAGCAAAAAGGTAGAAAAACAAGATTAGGAGAACTACCCTGAACAGAGACGGGGGGCGACACAAGTTATCTCAGCCACCACCGCGTCGTAGATCAGGTAGATGCGGTCAGCCTCCGCACCATACAGGAAACCGTCACCTGGTCATGGAAGAAAAATAGTGGTAAATATTATTAGGTTTATGGTCAAAACCTGAAAACAAAGACCAGAGGAAATGTAGCCTGGGTACCATCCTGGTTAGTTTACGTCCGCCCCCACGTAGCGACTGGAAAGATTAAAAGAACTTCCAAACTTCGTAAGCCTCAAGGTAGTCCCACTCCTGGTAGCTACAGATGCTGTATTGAAAATATCTTCATCTTCATCTTTGCCGGGGCTCTGGGATGTTGTATAAGCCCCGGCCACACCCCCATATAGCCCCTGTTGGGCACCTTAGGGGGGGGGGGAGGCCTTGGTCTAAGGCGGACAGGCCTCCATCCTGGCCCGGAAGGACTCAACGGTGGGAGCCATGATTACCGGGCCAGGCAAGGCGTTCCATTGTGGGATTGTGCGGGGGAAGAGGGAATATTTATAGGCGTCTGTGCGTGCGTGTATGGGTTGGTATTTATACTGATGACTCCCTCGGGACGCCCCTGAGCTGGCTTGAGCAGTTTATCGGTATTGAATAGAATGGATCAAATCATATTCAACTATTCGGAACGTACCGTTGCGGTCATAGAAGGCAAAAAGTTCCTCGATGGTCAGACCGTCCCGAAGCTCCTGGAAGCTCAGGACGTGGTCGTGGTTGGTGTCGAGGACGTTGAAGTAGTGATGGTCAATGAACTGCAGAGCCTGCTCAACGGTGAACTGCTGATCCACTACAAAAGGGAAGAAGAGTTTGGAAATAAGAGTGGGGTCGTGCGGCGCAGCGCCAGCGTTCTCGACTCGGAACCTAGAGGCCCCGGCTTCAAATCCTGACATGCCACCGATCTTGTGCCCTTGGAAAAGGCACTTTACACGACTTTCCTCACTTCGCTCAGGTGAAAATGAGTATGGTATTGTCCCCTGTGTTGGTGTCGGCATTAATATAAGTTGAAAAACTTGAGTGTGCCATCACCACGTCTTGTGATTACATGTTTCGGAAAAAAAATAAGAGCACTTCGGCAGAACGTTCCACCATGTTAGAGAGCTAAACCTCAAAGTTTAATTTCTAAACTTTTTCCCATAGATAAAACAAAACCAAGCGTTTTGGAACGGCCGTGTGGCTCTGTGGTAAGTCTCCGGGTTTTTTTTCAGACCGCCAAACTTCTTGCGTCACATTGCACAAGGACAATTCGTATAACGTATCATCACGGAAGGATGTGACGTCACATGGCGGAAGGATGTGACGTCACATGGCAAACTTGTGTGACGTCATATGGCCAACCGTTGTGACGTAAGCCTCCTGTATACAGTGTAAACTCGTCTAAAATGTAAACTTAAACTGTAGGCTGCAATTAGGCCCACACACAATTTTGTTAAAAGTTTTGCAGATTTGGTGTCGTTTGTTATTATCTATATCGTGTAGTACGTGAAAGGGTCTCCTACATGCCTCCCAGAATATTTGTCCCATAGTTAAAAGGAAAAGGAAAGATCTCCCATGCCCTTATGCAGAGCGTAGGGTGGTGCCCATATCCATTTCGTAGCCCTTGGGCGACACATATTTGTGCAATGCACTACAGTAGGGGGCTAGTCCGCTGGTAGGGCTGTGTGTTTGACCTTCCCACACTCTTTCTCATATGTGCTGAGTGCTAAGTAGAGAAAGTGTTCCTATAGTTAAGCTACGGTTAAAAACGTTCCACAGTAGCGCTCAGTACTTACTGTCCGTGTCCAGGGCAAGCATGGCCTCTTCCAGAGTCATCGCGGCCGTTACTTCATTGATGTCGATGTGTCCGTCATTGTTGGCGTCCAGACCGGGGGCCTGTCTGTGGTCAAAACACGAAGAGAACTTAACTACATGTAAATGCATCATGTGCAATGTTGTATGTCCTTATGACCTTTTTGCGTGTTCCATTTCGGGTCAACAGCGGTGATTAGAACAGAACGCGTGCTCCATCCTTATGACCTTTTTGCGTGTTCCATTTGGGGTCAACAGCAGTCATTAGAACAGAACGCGTGTTCCATTGGGGTCAACAGTGGTCATTAGAACAGAACGCGTGCTCCATCCTTATGACCTTTTTGCGTGTTCCATTTGGGGTCAACAGAGGTCATTAGAACAGAACACGTGTTCCATTTGGGGTCACCGGCCATTTAACATTAAAAGTCTTTTGGGATTCTGCTAGTTAAGAAATAGATATTGTAGTTGAGACAGACGAAGGTCTCATGTAAGACCTAGGCGATGATCAGTCATGGTAACACATACATGTATACATAATTCAACAAGATTAGAATGTCCACAATCTTCCTGACTTAAAAGTGTTGGTCTCTAAGGAAAATGTAAAATATATATTTGAAAATGCAAAATGTTCCGTACGTACCTCCTCATTGGAGAAGCGGTTGCCAGGGCAACGAAGAACAGAAGGAAGGGAGACATGGTTGGTTGGGTGATGTCAGGGACTGGACTGAAAAAACAATGAGCGAAACATGACCTCACTGATTAAGTAGCCTAGTAATATGATACGTGACAGTCCAGGTCATCCTATGTTATATAACCACGAGAGCGTTATACCGGTCATACAGATACAGATACAGATACTAACAGGTTTGGTAGGAAAGTTCCACTGAATTTTAAGTCACCGTCATTCTAAGCCTATATCTAAGTCTACATTCAAATTTGTAAATGGTCGGTTCTGGCTTATATCCTTGCTAGCATGCTGCAAATTCTTACAACCCAACACAACCTATCCAATCGGTCACATTTGTCGTCATTTGCCGTATGATTTTGATGTCGCAGAGTGTCCAAGTTTTCAAGACAGAACCAACCTAGTCTGGGTGCCATCCTCCAACAATAGGTTGCCGGCGGTAACTACGGAGGAAGGCACCCAGGCTAGAACCAACTCTAACCGCCAACAACGATCTAAAGAAACCTCTTCCGTAACAAGACGAATTCGAATTTTACAGGACACATCCACGAGTCCACGACCATTCCAAAAATGTCCCTAGTTTGCGTGACTGAACTAGAACAGTTCTTATTTCTCATCTTACATTTGGTGCTAAAGAAGAGTACAGTTTGCAATCCATGTTACCTCTCTTTTAGGCCAATATCTACTCTTTCTACCCCCTTCCGAAGCCTGGCAGAGGCTATCCTCCTGTCACCAAAAGATCTACTTGGAGACTATTGTTCCCTAGACTCTTACAGGCCTCGAGAGGCGAGGCGACTGGAAAGACTAGAAATTGGCCAAATAAAGATATAACATGCTGAGGGAGTTGCAATGATCTTATAGCCTATTTGCAAGTCAACGAAGTAAGTCCACTTACCAGTAGCAGCGTCTTGAGTCTGTATGGTTCGGAGTGACGAGGCAGACCAGAAAGTTTAGCCCTAATATACCTGATGTGTGGGAAGTTCAACAGCTTTCAGGCGACACGTTGATATGAAGTTGTGTCAATACGACTGTCTAAATTTAACCCTATTGACGTTATATAAGTAAAATTATCACCAGACTAATCATAGTATGGCCGAACTGATTTAAAACATGTATAACATCATCAGGAGATCAAAGTTATGGTGCGAGGGTTTTAAAATCTCCAGAAATGGGAGAATATGGGCGTTCATTTCTGTTACTGTTTCAGAAAAAAATGTGCCATGTACACAAGACTGTCATTTATATGTCAAAGTTCATTGCACAACGATTGTCACGGGTACAATGTATGGCAAATAATAAGATTACTAGTTGGTATGCGTCTAACATAATGCTATATATATGGTCAACGGACATTGTATCTGACAGAGTTATCGGGTCTAAGGAGGGTTTGAGCTAAAACGCTAACCAGGGACCTGATGCTTTCCTTTGTTTACTGAACTAAACAACTGTTGGTAGCCCGTATCCCAAAGAGACCGGGTGATTTAGGACCTTTCATTTATATAGTACCCTTTTCTTTTTTTGCACTATGTCCGATAGTCGTTGCCATACATTGCACCGTGTACAACTGTCGTGCAATGAAATTCTTCTTTTTAAACATCATCACTGCAGATGGCGAAGAATACTGAGTAACCGATTGTCTAGGCTACTGGACACTAGAACTAGATCGAGAGGTCCAGGTTTGATCCCTGGTATTCCTGGCTAGACACTGTGTCCTTGGGAAAGGCATTTTCCACTACTTTAGAAATAGGTACCTGACTTCGGTTGGGGAGGTGTAAGAAGAGGGATGGGCTCTATCTTCCAATACCGTGTTCTGGGCACAGTTGACTAACAATCTACTGCTCCTATACTACGGCCTCCAAACGACTATAGGACTACCTTCACCCTTTTTACCTGCTAACATCTGCTTGGAGACTAGCTATCACAGCACGTACAAAACAACAAACACGCGAGACCTTGTTCCCTGGGCGTGGGTTGGTAAAGGGGGCTGCGCGTCCGGGCAAATATTTGTAGCCGGCAACAGGGGCTACGTTACGTGACCTCATGTCATCGCTAAATGATGTTATAACCTTTACTTATGCCTGGCGTATTATTTAGTCTTCTTTGATGATGCAAATAGATTATATCTATATGCAAATAGATTATAATCCTCTTTACCTAAGCTGCTAACAATCTCTTAAGTAGATAGTGCTAGCTATAGAGGTCACAAATCTCATACCTTCGTCATTTGTTACTTGTGTTTTTTTTCTATAATACAGTAATTTATTTTGCCGTTTACATGTAGCACTGTTGATTGTTTTGGCTCGAATTAGCTTTGTACGATATGTGGATGAAGTGATACTCGATAGCTAGCATTAGCCTAGAATCCATTCATATTTGCCGGTTCTAGCAGTCTCGTACGAGAACCAGCAAATGCTAAACACAACCTACCTAAAGATACATGCACCCATGGATATAACCACACCCCAAGTTGTAACCGTTTAAAAACATCGGCAACCCCTAAAAATGGCATTTCTAAAATCTTTTTCAAGAAGGTAATAAGAAAAGACACAAGAGGAAATGTTTGAATGCATGGAAGAAGTTGCGTTTATTTATTCAGAGTCATGAGGAAATATTCCTCATATGATATAACCAACTCGGCATCTACCGTGTCCTCCACAAGACGAAGTCAAGTCGAGGGACTAGGTAATTAGGTAGGTATGCAAGTTGTTAATTAGTTAGAATGTTAATTAGTTACAGAGGAAAGCGGTCCCATCAGGGCATTGGATTTGCGGCGTTCTGCTGCGCGGCGTACATCTGGTAGATCTTGTCCGCCTCTGAACCGTACAGGAAGCCGTCATCTGGTCATGGAAAGAAACAAGAATGATTAAAAAAAACATCTTGGCGATGTTTATTACCCAGTGAATGTCCCGCCATGTAAAGAGGGTACAAAGTTGTGAAAACAATAAACTTACTGCAACATACTTTTGGTATGCACTCCTTCACATATCAAATGTACATACCTAGGGTATGTTGCAGTAGAAATATCTTTAAGCACACTATTTCTCAAGGTGGCGATATTATGGACCCTGGTCATATTATGGACCCAGATGTTAAGTATAGAGCTAATTGGGGAAATAATAAATTACAATTTGACTGGTGTTGGTGTGAGTTAGAACGGGCCAGCTCAGATTCCTAAAACTACTTACGTCACAGTGGGAAAGTACGTCATTTCCGTCAACATTCGAACGCGTTCGAAGCTTCTAAATTACGTGTTGGAAAGCGTTCGAATACGATGCACGTAGCACAACATGCGTTTTATAACGCGTTCAGATGTCGGACAGAAATAACAAAGGTCCGGACTGTGGCGTTAACAATTTTTTTTTTTAATATTCCAACATGTAATCACAAGACGTGGTGACGGCACACTCAAGTCTTTGACTCTTATATTAATGCCGCCACCAATACAGGGGAAAATATAATACTCATTTTCACCTGAGCGAAGTGAGGAAAGTTGTGTAAAAGTACAAGGTGGCATGTCAGGACTCGAACCCGGGACCTCTTGGTTCTGAGTCAAGCACTCTGCCGCTACGCCACACGACCCCACGCATTAACGTATTTCCGTTAACAAATTTAAGGCGGCCTAAACACATCCTTTGTCTGGATTACGTAGGTACACTTGACTTGCTAACGTACCGTTTGCATCGTAGTAGGCGAACAGGTCAGCAAGAGTCAGGCCGTCCATGAGTTCCTGGAAGCTGAGCATGTGGTCATGGTTGGTGTCGAGCTGGTTGATCATGTGATGGTCGAAATACTCCAGAGCCTCGGCAACGGTGAACTGCATGTCACCTACAGAGGGAAGAAGAGTTTAGCACTCATGCGACAATAATGCAAGTTCACATGCGAAGACCACCAAAAAAGGCACATTTCAGACGGATGTGACGTCACATTGCAGACGGATGTGACGTCACATTGCAGATGGATGTGACGTCACATTGCAGATAGATGTGACATCACATTGCAGACGGAAGTGACGTCACATTTCAGGCGGATTTGACGTAATTCTATCTGCAAACTCGTCTAAAATGTCGGTTTGAGACGCTTGGCACTTACCGTCAGTGTCCAGAGCGTACACGACTGCGGTCAGGTTCAGCTTGGCCGTGACCTCGTTGATGTTGAGATGTCCGTCTCCGTCCGTGTCCAGGTCATCGGTGACCTGCCTGTGTTAGAAAATAAAGAGAACATTGAACGTCTGGTAAGAATCTGTTAGGGTACAGCAAGTATTTTAATGGATGACTTCCGCGCGAGCAGTAATTCAAGCCCGTTCTCGAAAAAAAAAAAGAATTTCGGCCCTTCTCTCGCCCTCTCACATTATTAGACTTTGGGCCTCCTTCCTTGGACATCTTTCATTAAAAATTACTTTGTATGGTGTAAGCAATAAATTAAGTCGATATGGATGAAAATCTCGTGTTCTTGAGCTGATTGAGACATAGTTCATCTAAAATGTTTTAGTAATTTGTTGCCAAGACGAGCGCTAGCAGTGAGCGTCAGGACCGAATCCGCTATAGCTTAAGATTCATCACCAACACCATATTTCTTAATTGGCAAGTGACGCTGGCAAAATGGGTTGGCTAACTTGCGTGCAGCGCCACTTGTTCTTGATGTTATTTTGAATTTAAGAAAGAAAACACCATTGTAACAGACGGCTATTGGCCATGGTAACACATACTCATAAATCTACAGGATTATAATGTTCCCGATTCTCCTGACTTAGAGGTGTTGGCCCCAAAGTCTGGAGAATTCTGAAACGTGAAAAGTGCAAAAAGATATTATACGTACCCCGTTGCCAGTGCAACGAAGAACACAATGTAGAGAAGCATGGTTGGTTGTTTGTTGTCAGGGACTGAACTGGAAACAAAAGAAAACATGACGTCATTGATTGGAAAAGAAATATGATACTTGACACTCCTGTTGTAGGTTTGGAAAAAAATGTGCAAATCATACGGACGTATACTAAAGTCAGATAATAAACTCGATCAAAATAATATAATGCTTTGAGAGGAACTATAGGTAGATAAAAATGACTATAGTAGAGGGCCCTATAAGAGACGGTTCCCCTGAATTTCAATTGACCGTTCGTAATTAAGTGTTAGACCTAACCGACATGAATATTATAGCAAGACAGCCTTTAACGTTACGTTAACAAGACATGAAGAGGTGATTTTTTAGAACATGCACATGCACGAAGAATGCACCCAAGAATGCCGTTAGTTTGCGATCGTACCGATTGTTTCAGTGTCGCAGTGTTTTCAGGCGGTAACAGAACCAACCGCAGAAAGGATACAATGCACTTTTTACGTATGTCAGCTGAACTTTGCAGGACACATGCTCGGCTGTCCAAAAATGCTTCACAATCGTACGACATTCGCACAACAATCTCACGACGTATGTGGCCGGGCCTTAAGCTATAAGGTAAACAGACTTACCAGTATCTGCGTCTTGAAGCTGTATGATGAGTGAGTGAGTGGAAGAGGCAGAAAGTTTTGCCCTAATATAGCAAATGTGTGAGAAGTTCAACAGCTTTGTGGATAGATTGATATGACGGCGCGTCGGTAAGTCTGTCTAAATTTAACTCCAGATTTAACGTTAGACAAGCAAAGTCATCACTTAACTTATCATATCATAGTAAGGCCAAACAAAGTCAATTCATATACTAGTATATCATCCTTATACGTTATGGTACGAGGGTTGTCAAAAACTTAAATCAAATATATATGTATATATATATATATATATATATATATATATATATATATATATATATATATATATATATATGTGTGTGTGTGTGTGTGTGTGTGTGTGTGTGAAGAAAGCCACAGGGCTATTTTGGACCTTTCCTGCTAACATTGTCTCTGTTCGTCAAATGGCCAAATGGCTAGGCAAGTGGACATGAGATTGAGATGTCAGAGTCTATTCTTGGCACTCCTGAATATACACTGTCTGTGTCCTTGGGAAAGGCTCTTCACAAGACCTCCCTCACTCACTCAACAACGGGTATAGAGTGGGTAAAAGACAGTGGAAGTAGAGGGATGGGCTCCACCTTCGAATACCGTGCCCTAGACACAGTGGATTAACAACCCATTGT